TTAGGCAAATCTGCTGCACAAGACCTTTTGAAAGTGTTGAAGAGCAAAGATGTCAGCTTGAGGACTAAGGTGCGCCTGTCCCAAGCCATGGTATTTTAATAATCTCATATTCATGTGAAAGCTGGACAGTGAATAAGGAAGACCATAGAAGAATTGATGCCTTTGAGTCATGGTGTTGGAGAAGAATAATGAAAGTGCCATAGGCTGCCAAAAGAAACAACAGATCTATTTTGAAAGAAATGTAGCCAGAGGGCTCCTTAGAGGCCAAGATGGCCAAACTTCGTCTCTCACACTTTGAACATATTGTCAGGAGGGACTAGCACCTAACAACAACAACTTCTGTAAAGATTTGTTGTTTTTAAGTGCCTTCAAGTCGGTTCTAATCCATAGTGATCCTCTATAGGGTTTCTGAGGAGCAGCTGGTGAGATTGAATTGCTGATCTTGGGGTGCAAACTGACTTTGCACTCCAATGCATTAAACCACAGCACCACACTCTATATAGGGTCGCAATGAGCCAGAACTAACTTGACATAACATAACCACTAACCTCTACCTTCTATTTCAGGGAGTGGAAGTTAAACTCTGCAAAGATTAGAGGTGGTGGTTATGTGCTGTGGAGTCGATTCCAACTCATAGTGACCCTGTACAGGGTTTCCAAGGCTATAACTTTTTATGGGAGCAGAAAACCTCATCTTTCTCCCAAGAAACTGCTGGTAGTTTTGAACTGCTGACCTTAAGGTTCGCAGCCCGATTTGCAACCACTACGCTACCAGAGCTCCTTACAAGGTTAGAGGACTGTTAACATTAATAATGTCTATATAGATTCAAAGGTCTGGTACATGACGGACAGGTTAGCAACTCTCATTAAAAAGAAAGAAAAATAAAATGTGTGGTGGGCCTCTTTGAGTTTTGGAGGCAGCATATACCACACTCAAGAATATAGTTGACTGGGTAGTTAGATAGAACTCTGCAGCAAATCAATGTTATTATGCAAGCGGCCTTGCTATTTGCCCCTGTCTCGGTACATCCAGTGCTGTGTTAGATAAGGATACTTATGCAGATTCTTGAGCAAGACCTTACAGGACAGTCCTATTGCAATACCTCAGGGTTCTAGGAAAAAGACCATTCCTCTGACAAGTCATTTGAAAAGCCATCCTGGCATGCTGCTAGGTTCCAGTAAAGACTGAGGGCCTTCTTATGCAACTCAAGTGATTATGCAACCAAAGGCATCCATCAGGAGCTGGATCATGAACATTGTAAGATTCACCAAACCATATTGTCAGTGGGTATAGCAGGAATCCATCATATCACAGAAATGGCATATTCGTAAGGGGGCTTGACTGGGACTGAGGGCACAAGTAAGATGCACACATAGGTAGGTTAGACTTCCATGTAGCTTGCACCAATGTTTATTTACTAATGTCTCTCCATCATTTTATACCTATGGGCTAATTGAGAGTTTACTATAACCAGCTGGTAGAAGAAGAAAATGCTTGGATCTGGTTATGGATATATGTTGGAATGAGCTGAAAATGGATGATACCTTGGTATAGCATCTATCAGGGGACGCTGGAAAGGACTTTGGTGAGGGGAAATCTTCCTAAACAATATATGTGCTTATAGAGAACTAACTTCAGGTGGGGTGCTATCAATCTTCAGGCAGTACTGACTGATTTGGCTCATTGATCCGGGACTCAGAATGAGGCAAACTTGGAAGAGGCACATGTGGGACTAAAGCATATGAATATTAACACATTAACATGTTAATGTCTACCAGTGAGCATCTACCACAGTCTACTCTTGTCCTTGCCTTTCCAAGTGCTCATTCAACATGTCCTTGAGGGAGTAGTCACAGTGATAGAGATGGGAACTGTGCATGGGTTCAATAGCTTATCTACTTTTTATAAGCTGACCTACTTATTGCAGCTGCTAAATGCTCAGTCAGCAACAGATATGAACATTGAACTCTTAGTATGGTACCCGTCTCTTAGAGACCAGTCAGCCACACAACCCTGGAAGGGGAAGTGATTCACCTTGTTGGGAATGATTCTCCAAATATACATTTGCCTTCTTTGTTCCTAGCATCCCTGCCAGCACCATTATCCAAGGATTTAAAGAGTGCCCAATTTACCAACATGTTAGGTGCCATTGAGTCGGCTCCGATTCATAGCAAAGCTAAGCAGCATAGAAGGAAACACTGCCAAGTCCTGTGCCATCTCACAATTGTTATGTTTGAGCTTCTTTTTTTGATGAAACTTTTACTTTTCCAAGGACTGGTCCCTCCTCATAACATGTCCAAAGTATGTGAGACGAAGGCTCCCCATCATTGCTTCTAGGGAGCATTCTGGTTGTACTTCTTCCTAGACAGATTTGTTTGCTCTTCTGGCAGTCCATGATATTTTCAATACCCTTTGTATATTGAAAGTATAGTGGACTTTCACATAATTTAAATGCCTTAGTTCTTCTCCACTCTTCTTTTATTCATTATACACCTTTCCTATGAATATGATGCCATTGAAAATACCATGGCTTGGGGCAGGAAAACCTTACTCATTAAAGAGACATCTCTGCTCTTTAACACTTTAAAGAGATCTTTTTCAGTAGATTTGCCTATTTATAATATGTTACTTGATTTCTTGACTGCTGCTTCCATGAGCATTGATTGTGGATTCAAATAAGGTGAAATCATTGATAACTCCAATCTTTTCTCCATTTATTTTGATGTTGTTTATTGGTTCACTTGTGAGGATATTAGTTTTCTTTATGTTGAGTTGTAATCCATACTAGAGGCTATATTTGATCTTCATCAGCAAGTGCTTCAAGTCCTCTTTACTCTCAGCAAGTATGGTTGTGTAATCTGTATATTGAGATTGTTAACGAGCCTTCATCCAGTTCTGATCTTCTTCATATAGTCAACTTTCTTAGATTATTTGCTAAGCATACAGATTGAATAGATATGGTTAATAGAAACAACCCTAAAACACATCTTTTCTGATACTAAACCATGCAGTATCCCCTCTTAGTCTATGTACAAGTGTTGTATGAGCATGCTTAAGTGTTCTGGAATTCCCATTTTTTGCAATGTTATATAGGGTTTGTTATAATCCACACAGGTGAATGTTTTTGCATAGTCAATAAAATACAAGTAACATCTTTCTGGTATTCTCTGCCTTCAGCAAGATCCATCTGATGTCTGCAATGATAGCCTTCATTCCATATCCTCTTCTAAATCCAGCTTGAATTTTCTGGCAGCTCCCTGTCAATGAACTGCTGCAACCATTTAAAAAATCATCTTACTCATATGTGATATTAATGATATTATTTGATAATATCCATATTCTGTATGGTAGCCTTTGTTTGGGATGGGCACAAATATAGATTTCTTCCAGTTGGTTGACTAGGTAACTATCTTCCTTTTTTTTTTTTTTTTACATAGACTAGTCAGTACCTCCAATGTGGCATTACTCTGTGGAAACATTTCAATTAGTATCCCATCAATTCCTGGAGCCTTGTTTTTCTGCATAACATTTCTCAGGCCAAGAGTCACATTTTATAGTACAAAAAAGAGTGTTTAAAGATGAGACAATGGAAACATGACAATGAGTTCTATCACATCACATCACATCATATGTTATATCGTATCACCAGCTGGCCTGACAAAACTCTGGAATGGCTTTAATGAATCAGCTAAATTTCCAGGCCAGGTACAGCATCCTGTGGACTTGTGCTGTTCTGCATGATGTAGCATATGTGTTGAACCAATGACTGATATATGGTACTACGCTTCCAATATGAACATTGGTTCACGAAGAAAGTGTCAGGAAATCCTGCTTGAAATCCTTCAGTGGTTCCCTGCCCATTATAGAATAGCTGACACTTAGACTCTATCGGGCAGAGCAGAACTGCCCCCATACAGTTTCCCAAACTGTAATCTTTATAGGAGCAGATAGATCACCAAGTCTTTTTCCCCCTGAAGAGGGGGTGGTTGGTTTTAACCCACCTTCACCAGGATCCTTATTTTCAAGATAAGCCTATGCTTGCTCCTTCAGCATCATCTCTAACTTCTGCCATTCTCTCTTGCAGATTCTGCAGTCATATGAACACTTTTTTCTTTCTTTAGAACACCCTTCTTTCGGCCAAGTTCGCCTCTACTATTAAGTTATTTATCTTCTACTGAAAACCTTCCGGAAACTCCACCCTTTTAGCTGTGCGTCTCTGAGGTTCCACCACACCTCATGCACCACACTACCTGTGCAGATCATATTTTACTGATTCTTTGTTTTCTTCTGTGGCTCCTCTACTCTACAGTGCACTCAGATTAACACCTAGTATATAACCTTTAATTCAAAGCAGGTACTTGCCATCTTTTGTCAAACTGAACTGAGTAGACAAGAGAGAAATGCTAGCTGCAAGATCGGCGGTTCAAACCCACCAGCTGCTTCTTGGAAACCCTACACAGGGTTGCCTTGAGTTTGAATCAACTCGGAGGCATTTAGCAACAACAATGCAATAACAGGCAAGGCCAATAGATGACTTCTGTACCCATTTCGGACACAAATCCAAAGCATCCGCTGGCCTTGTGTTTCTTAGTGATCGGGCCCAGTCCTCCCTTGCAGGATAGGGCTTAGAAACCACACTTCCTACGACACCCAGACACCCACGAGCGCCTCCCATTGATTCTGTAGGAACCGGAGAGAGGCAGGAACACGCGGTTGCAGGCCAGCGTTTGGCGCATGCTTAGAGAGCAAGCACCGGGCTGGAATCGGAAGAGTCCAAGCGTGAGGGGTGTGCTATGCGATTTAGGTTCTCTTTTCTCCTGAATAGGGCCGTGAGTCTTATTCTTTCCTACCTCGCCTGCATCTTAATTTGAAATTCAGACTTGAAATGTGGCTTGTCAGAGGGTGAGGAAGGGATCAGAGGTTTGTCAGCTTCACCCTCATCTTTGGCTGCTCCTCCTGCAGTTGTGGGTTGGACGGTGCCGTGCCAGGTCAAGGCGTGTGGGGGCGGAAGCGGCAGCCACAGCGGCTGCGGCGGCTGTCAGAGCAGGCGAGGTTGCTGGGTGGAGCGGCCATGGAGGGTCAGCGCTGGCTGCCGCTGGAGGCCAATCCAGAGGTGAGTGCGGTTAGGGTTCCAACGTGGGGGGCGCAGTGGAGAGAGCTGGGCTGCTGGTGCAGCAGCGAACCAAACAATTTGTTTCTAAATCGTGTCCTCTGTTTCATTTTCAGGTCACTAACCAGGTGAGTGGAGGTGTCTGTCGCTCTGGAGTCCTTTCTGCCAGCTTGGTCCACATCCCTGCCTGCGTCCATCACCATGCTCCTTGGGGAGATGGGATTTCACTCAGTAAGGACCCCCTCTTGGTCTGCTTCAGGAGTGCCCACCAGCTCCCTGCCACCTGGCTCCCAGAGATGCCTCCAGCTACCGCAACCCCTCCTCTGCCCCCATTCCCAGGTCCTCACGTTTCCTGGGGCCTCAGGGGCTGAGGTTGAGGAACATTCATTCTCAACATTCCTGTATCTATTCTTCCCTCTTCGTTTTGCCTTCTCCTAGTGCAAATTTCCTAATTTTCCTTCACCTGTACCTTCTGAGTGATTAATTTGCCTACACTTCCTGACTCCAAGCTTTGTAAACTCTCCCACCCAGTCTGTGTAATTTCATCCACCGCCTGCACTAATGAAATCATCTTCTCTTGCTCCATCGAGGCACTTCTCTTGCGTGCCACGCCCCCTTTTCTTGCCATTTTTTTTAAAACTGGAAATTCAGTTATGGTTTTTTTTATTATTTTTTTTTTTTTTAGCGTAGAAAGGTCAGCATAATAATGCCCACACAATTTTTTGCCACCTGCAACCCTTAAATTCACCCAGGGTATTGGAGGTTGTGGTTTGGGGAATAAGGGAACATCTTCACCACTTCATTTGTTGTTGTTGTGTGCCAGTGGGTCGGTTCCGACTCATAGTGACTCTGTACAGGGTTTCCGAGGCTGTAAATCTTTACGGGAGCAGAAAGCCTCATCTTTCTCCCGCGAAACAGCTGGTAGTTTCAAACTGCTAACCTTATGGTTTGCAGTCCAATTCATAACCACTACGCAACCAGAGCTCCTTCACTTCATTAGAGCAACAGTAAGTGCTGCCAGGTTTAAACTTTTAATTTGTTCAGATGAGTCTTGTCTTCCCTTGTTTTTCATTTAAAGAGTTTATTTACCTTTTACTGATTTATTAGTATATCATATGATGGATTCTCCCCTTTCCATAATTTTCCTTCTCATCACCACTGAATTTTGGCTTTCAAAGCTTATAGCAAATGCCTTATAAAAGGAAAAGAAATAAAAATGCTGTATTTTAATGTTAGCAGGAAAACCTATGCTTTGAGAATGACTGTTACTCCCCACAGGTGCCCTATTGGCTCCGTGGATTAGGTATTAGACTGCTACCTGCAAGGATGAAGGTTCAAACCCCTTAAACTCTATAGGAGAACCATGAGGCTGTCTGCTCCCATAAATGTACAGTTTGAGAAACTTAGAGGGTCACTATGAGTTTGAATTGACTTGATGACTGTTTTTTTTTTTTTTTTTTTTTTTATTATTCCCCTGACTCTTCACCTCTTTAATAGTTTGGAAATGCACAAAATTTTAAAGCCAACATATATCTTTTATATTGTTCTTACAGTATCCTTTCCTATCATTGTTTTCCCCATTTTGAAATTTGCTGTTCTTTCTTTCCAAACATATTTTGTATATATATGTCCTTTTTGTCCAGAGACAGAAATCTTCAGGTTGAAGGTACCAATATTTATTTATAATTTCTGATTTGGTGCCATAGGAAATAAACATACATGGGGCACTTCAAAAAGTTCAAGGAAAAATTCCATGTTTCCCATGAACTCTTTTTTTTTTTTTTTAATATTTTGTTGTGAATTATGTGATACTTTACATGGGAGAACATTAGTTTTACATTCATCATATCGTAGTATCATTTCATTGCCATGGTTACAACCCCTCCGTGCATCATCAACCAACCAAAGAGTACACCCTGCAAGCCTGCTCCCTGGTCGTTAGCACACAGTCCCTCTCCCTCTCTGGGTCTAAAGTCCCTAGCTGCTCCATCTCTCCACGTCATCATCTCTGCCTCCATCTCTGGTGTCACTGCTTCTCTGGGTAGGGTCTCACTCTCTGCTCTTCTCCCTTGATGGTTCCAAGGACCTCCATTCCTAGACTGCAAAGTTAATCACTCCCCTCCTTGCTACAAAACATCTACCTTTACATTTCCAACCCTCACAATCAATCCTGATAACTATTCACTATTGTATCACAAGAGACCTATCCGTATTTCCTTTCATCAGCCTTGCGTAGACAGATTGGATACTTACTACTCAGTGGAGATTCTACCTTCCTCCAAGCCCTCTGGATCTAGGTTCCCTCTTGAAAGCCTGTAAGCCAGTCACTTCTTGCCTTTGTAGCCCCCATTTTGGGTAGCCAGTGTCCAAGTTGCCCATCCCGGTCTCCCATGAACTCTTGAAGCCTTGCATTTCCCTCTGACCTAATCTAAAACTTTTTATATATCTTTGTGAAAATCAATTCCTCGTATGTCTGGGATTCCCTTCTCTTATCCATGTGCTTGTTTGTTTTTTGTTTTTTTTTCCCAGTATAACACTGTTTGGATTACTATAGTGTTACAAATCTTCAAATTAGTGTGCACCCTCCAACTTTATTTTTATTGTTCAAAATTCTTTAGGCTACTCTAGGTATTTTGTGTTTAAATAGGAATTTAGAATTTGTTTGTTTGTTTCTCCAAAAAGTCTTGCTGTGATTTTGATGTCGGATCTGTTGATGTACTTTGGGGAGAATTGCTATCTTAATAATGTTGATTTTTGTAATCCATGAAGATGTTACATCTTTCTGTTTACTTAGGTGTCTGTCTTTTTCATCAGTGTTTTGTAGATTCAGCATATATAGATATTGTACATATTTTGCTAGGTTTATATCAATTTTTAGTAAATTTGGGTGCTGTTGTAAATGATAATTTCTTTTTAAATTTCTATTTTCTAACTTTCCATTGCTATATAGGCAGTCCCTGGATTACAAATGAGTTCCATTTTTAAGTCAAATTTGCATGTAAGTTGGAACAGTTAGGTATGGGTCGTATCTAATGTCAGCTAGTCAAATGTTTGTCTTAGTATATAGTGTACCTTTCTATGTATAAAGAACAGTAAAGATGCACTAAAATTACAGCTATTCTAAAACCATCACTGATGAGCATCACAAAACAGTGGCCATTTGTTATTATGGCCTATTGTGTGTACTTTGAATTTTTAATCAAATAGGTTTTACAGGAACTACTTTGTTTCTACAGGTTGCATGTTAGTCAGATGTTCATAAACCTGGGACTGCCTGTATTTAGATTTTTGTATTTGACTGTGTATGCTGCTATCTTGCTACATTTATTAGTTCTAGAGGCTTTTACTGTCGTTAGGTTCTGTATAGACAGTCATGCTGTTGATGAGTAGACATTTTTTTTCCTTCATTTTCAATCTGCATGCCTTTTCATGCCTTCTTGAAAAGATTAGAATCTTCATGACAAATAAGAGTAGGCGTGGTGAGAGAAAGCCTCATTTGATTTTTCTCCATTAAGTATGGTACTAGATTTTTTGGTAAATGCTTCTTTTCCTATTTTTCTGAGACTGCTTATCTTGAATTATTGTTGATTTTTCTCATATGCTTATTCTGCATCTGTTGAGATAATCATATAAGTAAGAAATACTACCAATTGAGCAGAAAAGGGGGCTTCAAAAAGTTTATGGAAAAATGGAATTAGCCAAATTAAAAGATAATGGAATTTTCCCACAAATTTTCTGAAGTCCCTTTATATATATATATATAAAATAAACATGCAAGCATATGAAGCTAAGCATAAGATGAGGGAACATTTCCTAAAGACATAATAAGAAAAACTTCAGGCCAGTATCCCTCATGAACATGGACGTAAATATCCTCAACAAAATGCCAGCAAATAGATTCCAGCAATATATAGTGGTGGTGGTTATGTGCCATGGAGTCGGTCCCGACTCAGCCACCCTGTACAGGGTTTCCGAGGCCTCCTCTTTCTCCTGCGAGTTTCGAACTGCTGACCCTGAAGTTAGCAGCCCGATATGTAACCACTACACTTTCAGAGCTCCTTATGAGGAAGATTAGTTTATCCTGGTATTACAAGATACTTCTTCATTAAAAAAAAAAAAAAAAATCAACCAAAATAATTCACCATATAAAACTTTTAGATGTGTTTAGATGGCATTGTTATTATTTCAATAGGATATAAGGTTGTTGTTGTTGTTGTTGTTGTTAAGTGCCATGAGTTGATTCCAACCCATAGCGACCCTGTATAGGGTTTCTGAGGAGCAGCTGGTGAGCTTGAACTGCCGACCTTGCAGTTCAAATGGCTTTGCAGTCTGGCGCATTAACCCATAGTGCCACACCAGGACTCCAGGACTCCATACAAGATAGTATAACTATAAAATTATTTTCTGTAATTCTGATTCTGTAAGATTTGTTCTGAGGCAATCCTGATAGACTATCAAACACATTTGCTCATTCACATTAATTAAATAATAATATTTTAGGGACACCATTTATAATAAATACCAGGTGTCTGGTCAGTGATGATTAGACAATAAGTAATTTTTGCTTTTTAATACAGTAGGGAAGACAGGCCATAAGCAAGTGAACAGTTGTCATTTGTCAAAAGAACAATGAAAACTCATGACCAGAGTGCTATGATAGAGACCAGTATGGAAAAATTAGTAGATTGGATGGTGGCAGGAGACTTTTCTTTGGTGACATTAACAGAGGGAAAAATAGTCCTTTATACCTCATATACCCTTGCTTTGGAGGTGGTTCAGTTTATTTTAAATTTGTTTATTTAAGAAATAATATGCTTTTAGTTCAGGAGGATGGGCAAGTATTTAAGAAATTGCCAGTTTGATTAAACATTTTTGTGGTTTCTTAATTTTCTATATGTTGGTGGCAGTACTGAGAAAATGAATAGAAATTGTCTTAAAATTTGTAGAATTAATAAATTGTCATTGTTAAGGGCCATTGAGTCAGTTCCAACTCATATTGACCCTGGGAGGGGCTGGTTCATTTGAACCACAACTTTAAAGTTAGCAGTCCAGTGCTTGCTTAGCCTACAGCTCCACACCAGGACTCCAATAAATAAATTAAGCCTTGTGTCCTAAATAAGCATACAAA